AAGCCGGGAAGGTCTGTGCCGCACCTCCGGGGTTGAGGGTCGCTACTTAGACACACGGAGAACAGCTGGGGGGTGCGGGGGGGTGGTGCTGAGAGCGCGCCTCTTCGCACGGCTCCACAACGACTCCCGGCGTGCTGTGCGCCGGGTCACTCTGCACCTGCGCGCTGGCCGCCGAGCGCTAAGGAGTCGGTCTGATTGAACTGGGAATGCTAAGGGGCTCAGCGTTCGGGGTGGCGCCCACTAGTGCCCTTACCTGCTGCGTGCATACGACCGTCTGCAATTCCCTGCGTGCACCCCTCGGCCGGTGTGTTGGTCCAGGCATGCACCAAGGGGAAGATGTGACACTTTTTCTTGGCTTCTCGGGGTTTTAATTTTGTCTTTGTTTTGTTGCTTTGGTTTTAAGAAACAAGGTCTTGCTATGTAGTCCAGCCTGGCTTTGAAGTCGCGAATCTCCTGCCTTGGCCTTCCAAGTCCAAGCTTCGCCTGGAGCCTCCCTGGTTTAAATCGTCCATCCTAGAGCCGCTGTGTTTAAGCCATTGGTGGGACAGGGCTGAGAATCTGTTTTATAAGGGACTCTGTTGAGTCTCTCATGCATGAAATTTGAGGCCTGTTGTGTGGGAAGATGGTACAACCAGACACTGCATCAGGTTAATATTGTATAGATTTTCCACATACAGAAGCGATTTTCGGGATTTTAATCATATACCAAACGGTATAAAAACAGCTGGGGAGGTATGTAGCTCCGATGTAGTAGCGCCTAGCATGGGCTGAATCTACCCCCAGCTGCAAAACTGCAAGTAAATTTAAAATTGCCAGACTAATCAGAATGCGTATTTGAGTTGGAAACACAAGTCTTCCAGGTGCGCTGATTAAATGGACGTTCTACCTGATAGTAAAATGTAGAGCTGTGCAAGAGCAAATATTACCGGATGGTTTGCAGTCGGTGCCTAGCTGTTATTTTTCTTCCCATGATTTCCTTATCTGTGGTCAACCATTGTTAAAGGAAACCTCAGTTACCTGGAAAAGTTCAGAGGCAAAGTTCCAAACGGCAAGCCTTTCCGAGTAGTGGTGATGAACTGTCACACAGCAGAGGGCAGTGAATTGTCCCTTTGTCTAGTACATCCATGCTATCTACACTACCCACCTATTAGCCATGTAGTAGATGTGTTAGTGGCTAGGCTGTGGAGATAGTACAGTGCTTGTGTGAGCAACCCTTGACCACAAAGCTCAGGAGTAGTGGTCTGTGCAATTTTATTATAGTAAATTATTAAAATCATCCTATTTCATTTTTATTGGTAATCTCTTATGGTATCTAATTCATAAATCAAACCTTAGTTAGGTATGTATGTTGGTATGTATGTGGTGGTTGGTGTCAATTTGACAGGAGCTAAACCATATAGGAGACCAGCCTTCAGACACACTTGTGAGAAAGTTTCTCAGGCTATCCTCTGGTCATATATGTGAAGGGTTATCATTAATAGATTAATTGACAAGGGAAGGTGACACACTGGGTTGGGTCTGGGCCCATGAAAGGGTGAAGTTAGCTGAGCAACAACACACATTCACTCATTGTTCTGTTTCCAGCTGTGGCTGGGGTGGTACCAGCTGTTTCAGGCTACTGTCTTAATTCACCCCTCTCCTCATGATGGACTGTATCTTGAGTTATAAGCCAAAATAAACCATTTTTCTATAGGCTGCCTTTATCACAGTATTTTATCATAGCAACAGGAAAAGGAACTAAGGTAATGTGTAAGAAAAAAATAATAGATATAGGGTTTGGGTAGTATATGATTCCAGGCATCTCTTGGAGGTCTTTGAAGGTATAACCTGAAGTACAAGACTATGCTGTATAATTACCACTAGATAAGAACAAAAATTGCCTAAGAGATTGGGTTTCCTCCTTAAGGGCCATAAGGAGAGTAGTAGCAACTACCGTGACTTTGGTCACCCTTGGTACAGTCGGTGTATAACACACATTACATAAGGCATTCTTCGCCAATTCTAATCATGTTTGTCAGTCTCTCAGGGTCAGTGTCTCAGTAATCCTGAGTCACCAAGCTGTAGCTAAATGTCACCCTCAGCCTGGGGAAAGACCAAAATTCAAGATTTGAGGTACAGTTTCTAAACCAGGCGCATATCACTTTCTCATTATAAGGTTGGAAAGTTATTAAGTAGGACACTTATAAGTGAGGAGCCATTGGATACTGTGAAACCCAGACAGGGCCCTTGTGAACCACCAGCTTGCAATCTCACCTTTGTGGCAAATGGGCGCATCTGCCACTTATTTTTTGTCTTTCCCGAGACAGGGTTTCTCTTTGGAGCCTGTCCTAGAACTAGCTCTTGTAGACCAGACTGATCTCAAACTCAGAGATCTCCTGGATCTGCCTCTACCTCCCTAGTGCTGGGATTAAAGATGTGTGTGCCACCACCCGGCCCCTGCCACCTATTCTTATGAGGCCATCTGGGAGTAGACAGTTTATGGGTGATAGCAAAGCAGCAATAAATAAGAAGCTGCTCTCTACGAGGGTGAAAGGAACTGCTGTCATCATTTTAGGGCAGCCTTTTGTTTTATAAGCAGAGGAGCTGACGAACAGAGAAAGCAGGGATTTGTCTCAGGTCATATACCACTGCTTCCTGATCCAGGTCTGGACTCTTGAGTCTGCCCACTTTGAACCCATTTCACTGTAGACTTTACGTCAGAGCCAGTCTACACTCTATGCCCTCGTGCCAAACTTGCCGCAACCAAAAATAGAAGAAACTGGGCTGGAGAGATGGCTCAGAGGTTAAGAGCACTGGCTGTTCTTCCAGAAGTCCTGAGTTCAATTCCCAGCAACCACATGGAGGCTCACAACCATCTATAGTGGGATCTGATGCCCTCTTCTGGCATAAAGGCATACATACAGATAGAGCATTCATATACAATAAATAATTTTTTTTTTTTTTTTGGATTTTCAAGACAGGGTTTCTCTGTGTAGCTTTGGAGCCTATCCTGGCACTCGCTCTGGAGACCAGGCTGGCCTGGAACTCACAGAGATCCACCTGCCTCTGCCTCCTGAGTGCTGGGATTAAAGGCGTGAACCACCAATGCCCGGCAATAAATAAATCTTAAAAAAAAAAAAAAAAAGAATAAAAGAAACCTCCCACAAGTTGAAAAGATGCCATTTCTGACCAGAGTCCAGGATCCTCTGGTGCCTGTTAGCCTGCTTTCCCATTGGCTCCTGGGACCCACCCCTTTGGGCTCCTCCCCCTCTGCCTCACAGCTCTCTGAGAGAAGACTTTCCTTGGGAGGCAACAGCACTATGACTGGCAAGGTAAGGCTAGCACTCACTCAAAAGCTGCTTCTTCTGGAGCGACACTTGTACCTCAGGAACTCATAGCAGCACTAGGACCCAGGTCAGGCCTGAGTTGTCAAGATACATGCCTGACTAATGCAATAGGAAGAAATAGTGCTTGGGGCCTTTTGCCTGGGGAACTTGTGCCTGCTTCCAGCAGGCCCCTATGGCCAGAAAGCCAAGCCGAAGTTAATGTCCACCCTCATCCTCTCTCTCTCCTCAGCCTGTCCTCTATTCCTATTTCCGAAGCTCCTGTTCATGGAGAGTTCGAATAGGTAAGAGCTTAGCTTCTGGAGGGGTGGGGTAGCAGAGGGCTTCACCCACACACATAATACACCTCCCACTCACCAGCATCCCTGTTCTCCTGGAGCCTCTATCTCTGAATGGCACTTCCACCCCAAAAGTCCAACAAGAGGACTGTGGGAGTGGGAAGAGGGGGGTGTTTTCCCCCTCCGTGGTGCTACCTCTGTCCCGCTGCACTCCAAGGCCCCTTAGCAACCATGCTCAGAGTAGGTTCACAAGATCCAGAGGTCCCTGGTAACTCGCAGGGGAGCAGCTGGCCTCCCTCTGTTCTTATTTGATCTGGTTAATCAAACAGAACTGTTTGGAGTTGGCCACAGACTTCGGGAGAGCAGGACCTAGAGCTCTCTGCTTTAGGCCGAGTCTGACACTTCACTCCTCCAGTGAGCACACTGCTGGCAAAGGTCACTGCCATAGCACTGTGTACCAAAGAACTCTTGTGCCCAGTGTTTTTGTGTGCTTGACTCCCTTTTCACCTCGATGATCATGGGAAGGAGGGACTGTAAGTGTCCCCATTGTGCAAACGAGACAAGGCACAAAGGTTAAGTAATCTTCCCTCCATCATGCAGCTGCTAAGAGGAAAACCTGAAGTTTGAACCATGTAGTCTGGCTCAAGTCCATGTTCATTTGCTTTGATTTGGCACCAGCAATTGAACAAAGAGCCTTGACCATGCAAAGCTCATATCCTTCCAGTAAGTTAAACTCCTAGCCATATCCCTCACTTTCAGCTACTACAGTGCTGCTTGTCACACTAGGGAAACCGAGGCAAAGAAACTCATTAAGTTACTTGCCCAAGGCCATACACCTAACAATTGAATGAGGTAGGATTTGCACCTAGGCAGCCATCTCCAGTCTTGCCCTAACTGCAGAGCCATCATCAGTGATCCACAGTCCTGGACCCCAGAGGCACTACCATGACTGAGCCGGGAGCCAAAGCAGTATTAGTGCTGTCTTTGTAGAGCCTCTTTCAGGCTAAATTACTTTCATTCCAAAGTAGAGCTGACCAGCAGGGAGGAGGCTCCTGGCGTTGCCCTTGGAGGAATGTCTTTGAAAGTCTAACCAGAAGTCATCCCCTAACTCCGCTCTGGTCTCTCCTAGCTCTGGCACTGAAAGGCATTGACTATGAAATAGTGCCCATCAACCTCATAAAGGATGGGGGGCAACAGGTAAGGAAGCTGTCCCAGGCCCACAATATGAGAATTGGACCTTGAAGAGGTACCAGGTGGATGGAGCACTGGCTGTGCGCTGGACGGAAACCTGTGTTTAGTGGTTCTTGTAACTGAGGAGGCTGCTGCTGGTTCTCCTGAGAAGCAATGGGAGCCATGAGAAGGGATCAGGGTACTGAGATCAGTGCCTGACTTTATGAGGATAGGTGATAAAGGGACTTTTCCCTGTACTAGACCCTCTCAATGGATGACCGAGGTAGGAGCTGACTTAGTGGCCACATTAAAGGGTACAGGAAGAAGGTGGGCAGTGGTGGCACATGCCTTTACAGGCTGAGGCAGCTAGATCTCTGAGTTCCAGCACAGACAGGGTTACACAGAGAAACCCTATCTCGAATGGGGGGAGGGGGGAGGCTTGACAGCTAAAACCATTGGGGTGAAACTTGTACTTTAGGGGTCTAGGATACTGTGTGAATCCCCAGAGATTAGCCTGGCCTTAGGAGTCAAGTTCTTCTCCAAGATGAGAAATATGGATTGGTGGTAAGCCTACAGTGTTCCTACTTGCTTGGGCCTGCTCTAGGCAAGTTAAGATAGGGCACCTAGTCCTCCATGGCCTTGTCTCCACAGTTCTCAGAGGAATTTCAGACCCTGAATCCCATGAAACAAGTGCCAATCCTGAAGATCGACGGAATCACCATTGGCCAGTCAGTGAGTAGAGGGCTTGGGAGTGGCAGGGCTGTGAGTGAAAGGACCTGACATCTCTTCCTAACCCACAAGAGGCCAAACCGAAGCATAATAGGGGCTCAATGAGTGCATGGTAGAGGGAAAGAGAGAGGAAGGTTGAGCACATGGAGAACCAAGTTCACCAAGGTCCCCCAAAGGACCTTTGCCATGCTTCAGTTGAGGAGGGCGAAGGAGGTAGTGGTACCACTGGGAAAGGGTAGTTTGCTGGCCTTTGCCCTCTTGGGGTCCAAGGATCCCAAGCCCTCTCCCTGCCTCAATGTTCCCTCTGGACAGCTGGCCATCATGGAGTACCTGGAAGAAACTCGGCCCACCCCACGTCTCCTGCCTCAGGACCCAAAGAAAAAAGCCATTGTGCGCATGATTTCTGACCTCATCGCTAGTGGCATCCAGCCCATTCAGGTTAGGCCCTATTACATCTGCACCCTTGTACACTGTCACTCATCCCTTCCATACTCACTGTGATTGAGCCACCACCGTGAGGTAGGTGGGGGAAGCAGGGGAACAAAGAAAAACTCGCAGGGGCCTTGACCTAGCCCACATGGCAGAAGTGGGCAGGAATCCCAGAAACCTTTCATCAGTGTAGGTTTCCAACTCTACTCCTAGACCTAGTAGCATAGACATGTTTGAGGCGGGGGAAAGAGGCAGGGTAGCAGGCCTAGGTACAGCCTCCAGCTCCATCCTGGGCAGCGCCTGCTCATCTTCTCTGTGTCATATACGCAGATAGGCCTTGCTTTACCATACTTTGCTTTACTGTGTTTCACAGATAATCACATTTTAGATTTTTATTTGATTGTTACAAGTTGAAGAGTTATAGCAGCCCTTCATTAAGCAGGTCTATTGTCATTTTCTACTGATTTTTCATCATTAGTGTATTTAGTAATAAATTATTTTAAAATTAAGATACATTTCCAGGCATAGCGACTCTGTATGTTCAGTAGATCAGCATAATGTAAACAGAACTTTTCATAACCACTGAGAAACCAAGAAAGTCCATGTAAATTGCTTTATTGCTATATCTGCTGTTTTCCTGAGTCTAGACCTAAACCCCTAACTCTAGAGTATGCCAATATTGGGGTTCTTATGAGGTTTTTTGTTTGTTTGTTTTTAAAGTAAGTATTTACCTGTAAAGTAGAAAGGCAAGTATTAAAACCATTTAACTGTGCCAACTTCTACTTTGTAAGGTAATGGCTCTAAAAAAGGAGCAGTGACTTTGCAGGGTGATGTAGCTAAGTAGTATCAAGCAAGGACCAAGCTCAGACCCTTGTGTACCTGTGCCTCGACTCCTGTGACATCTTGCTGTGTTTTTTTTTTAATTTATTTATTATGTATACAATGTTCTGCCTGCATGTATGCCTGCAGGTCAGAAGAGGGAATCAGATCTCTTTATAGATGGTTTGTGAGCCACCATGTGGTTGCTAGGAATTGAACTCAGGACCTCTGGAAGAGCAGTCAGTGCTCTCAACCTCTGAGCCATCTCTCCAGCCCGCCCCCACATCTTGCTGTTTTTAACAATGGGGATTGCACCTTAGTCATAATCACTAGAAGCTAGTCCAACACACCTACACACCTGCCTCACCCCAGTCCCAAACTGACGTGTCCCTTGGGACTGTCCTGTTCCCCCCACCTGCCCCCAGTGTCACACAGTCTCTTTTCAAGAGACCAAGTAGGGGAGAGTATTGGGTGCAAGAGTAACAGGCCTTGGCTTGTGGCTGGATCTGTCGGTCATGCCATCATCCAATGTCCCTACTCTTGCATATTGCTACCAAAAACCACATTGCTTTCAGAATGCTTGGGACAACTGGGGCAGCCTAAGAAGGTGGCTACTTCCAACTTCACAGACCTGATGGAAGGAAGGTCCTGTGTAGCCCAGAGGCGAGTGGGACAGGTGAACATTTAGAGCAAACGGACACTGAGCTTCCATGCAGAGGCTTGACAGAGGGACAAGCCTCAAAGGGACAGACTCAAGCTGGCTTCCAGAGCAATCATTTCTTTTTTGTTCTCTTGAGCTGTACAGAACCTGTCTGTCCTGAAGCAAGTGGGACAGGAGAACCAGATGCCTTGGGCACAGAGGGCTATCACTTCTGGCTTTAATGGTGAGTTCTTACTCTTCTGAGCTGTCAAAGCAACTTCTCAGAGAAATGCCCCTCACACACGTGGCTCTGGGCATCTGAACCACTTTCAAAGGCTGCTTTGATCTTGACAGTGGGGTGGGTGAGAGGACCATGGACAGGAAGGTGGTAGGCTGGGTAGGTCCTCAAGGATAGCTTTAAGCTCCAGAATTTCTGTGAACCCCAGACCTGGGGGCCAATAGTCCCACAGTGTTTGTTGGTGCCCAACCTCTATTTCACTGAGCACCCCAGCCAATAGTGCCTGTCCTCAGAATGCTAGGCTGTCTGTGAGAGCTGTTGCCTTGGCCAGCTGCAAGTCTTGTCTGTTCTGAGAATAGACAGAGAAACCATGGAAAACATTATTCTTAGTCCTGGCTGTCATCGCCTCTGCCACACTCTGCCCCATGCCCTAGCCTATCACTGAAATGTCCGCCTATTCCATAGCTATGGCGAGGCCACAGCCAAGCCCTGAGAGGATGTAACTGTTATCCATGTGGCCTCCCCACAGCTCTGGAGCAGATTCTGCAGAGCACAGCAGGGAAGTACTGTGTAGGAGATGAGGTAAGTGTCCCCAGACATGCCCACTGTGGCCTTCGTGCTGACCCCAGACTGTCATTCTCCCACTTAGACCCAGTCATCTCTTTATCCTAAGGAGATACCTGAAGGGGGACCTGGAACCAGCCTCTTGGTCCAAACCTCTGCTCTGGGCAGTTAGTGTGTGGAAACACCTCAGCTCACTCCTCTACTGCCTCTAGAGCAGTGGCTCTCAACCTGTGGGCAGTGAACCCTTTGGGGTTCAGTTAACCCTTTCTCACACAGGTTCGCATATCAGATATCCTAGATATCAGGTATTTACATTCCGATTCAGAACAGTAGCAAAATTACAGTTATAAACTAGCAGTGAAATAACTTTATGGTTGGGGTCAGCACAGCATGAGGAACTGTGTTAAAGGGTTGCAGCATTGGGAAGGTTGGGAACCCCTGCCCTAGAGGTAATGTGAGGTATCCAAGCCAGAAGAGCATACTTCTAAGCCGGTGAGGTGGTCCAGGCATCAGCTGGGTTAGACTAAATGTCTCCCTTCCTTCGAAGCCAGAGACTGTAGGATTAAGGAACCCTTGACAACTGCAAACTAAGGCATTGGACCCGTGGTAGTCTGGTTTCATGGTTCCTTCTCTGCTGGGAGTCCTCACTAAGTCCGTAGTGGTGGTGGCTTCAACAAGCACACTGACCACCACCAACGCAATCAGGCCTTCTCTGGCTACCACAGGGTTGGTTGCCACGGAAACTAGAGCATGGCATGGGAGAAGTGCTACAGCTCCAGGGGACAGGGACAGCTCCAGAGGAGAGAGTGGGTGGGTGATAGGGATGTTTGAAAAACTGGAAGCAGATAGGAAGTTGGATTGGCAGCCCTGGTACAGTCAGCAGTGGATGCAGTGAGCCTTGCCAGCCAGTCTGTGGTGATTATCCTTGTGCCAACTCCCCTGGCCTTCTTTCAGGTGTCCATGGCTGATGTGTGCTTAGTGCCCCAAGTGGCAAATGCTGAAAGGTAAGAGAAAGCTCTGCCACCTTCCTTCATGTCCCCCTCCTGTCAGGGCCTCTGCATCCACTATCTCATGTGAACCCTTCTTTAACTGCCGGGGAGCCACGCCTGCTGCCTTGGCTTAGCATAGACATGGCAGATGAATCACTGAAATGTCTCTACCATGCCCACTGGAGCCTGAGTGGTTCTGTATAGACAGCTCTTTTTCCTAAGAGGAGGTGGCTTATCTAAGGGAAACACCCCCAAGAATACCTGCTTCCTGTACCCAAATGTGGAGTGTCTTCTTAGAAGTGAGCTCTTCGAGTTCCCTCCATTGGCCTGCTGGACAGGTCATGCTTGCTATTTAGGATATAGACATGTGCAGTGCATTCCCTCCCCTACAAAAAGGGTAATGTGGGTGATGGGACAGGTGGCAGGACTGCTTTCTGGCCTTGCCCTGCAACCTCTGGACCTCTTCAGCCCTGCCTCCGCTTTCCCCACTGCCCATGGCAGTGTCTTTGGAAACCCTGGCTTATGAATGTTTCTCTGCCACAGGTTCAAGGTGGACCTCAGCCCCTACCCTACCATCAGTCACATCAACAAAGCCCTGCTGGCCCTAGAGGCTTTCCAAGTGTCTCACCCCTGTCGACAGCCAGATACACCTGCTGAGCTGAGAGCACAGCTCCCAAACCATTCCCCACTGGTACAGGGAAGGGAACGGGGCTCACATGCTGGGTTAGCTGAACAGGCTCAAAAAAGAGTGAGTTGTAGCAGAGGACTTGAACTTGACCTCTTCCCTCAAGAAGTAGCAGAAACTCTTGGGAGTCCATGGCATTCCTTTGAGGCTCCCAGTATTAGAGTTTTCTCTAGAGAAATGAAATTAGTAGGATACATCTCCCCTTCAACTTCATCCTTCCTTAATCCTCTCATCTGCCATATGTTAGGATTGAGTGTGGGCAGACACATGACCTGCTATAATGGCTAATGCTGTCAACTTGAAAAAACCTAGTCACCTGGAAGAAGGGCCTTTAGGAACGTGTGGGGGTTATATTGGTAATGTTGCAGTGGGAAGACCATCATGGATGGTGGAGGGTCCCAGAGCCTATAAGAGGAGGGAAAGAGCTGAGCACTGTTGTGTAGGCTGACTTCTCTTGACTGTGGATGCAGTGTGATCAGCCACTCCCACTGATGCTGTGACTTCCCTGCCATTGTGGACTGTAACCTGGAACTATGAGTGAAAAATAAACCTTTTTTCCTTTATGTCGCTTTTGTCGGGGTATTTTTTAACAGAGCAACAGAGAAGAAACTAAGACCCCTGCTATCTGTCATGGGGCAGCCATGAAGATGACGTAAAGATGCTGGTTAAAAATGCCTGGCAGATTTACCTAAGTGGCACAGGGAAGCCTGAACTCCTCCTTATCTACTCTTATTAAACTTGACTCCAGAAAACATTTACACTAAGTTTAGTCATAGTTAGTTGAAAGCAGGCCTCTAACATGTTCCGTAGGGCTGAGCTTTCCCACTAACCAGAAACCACATCTGGACTCCGTAGTTAGAAAGTCTGTTAGCCTTTTGCTCTTCCTGTGGCAGGCTTGGCTCCTGACACCCAAAGGCAAGTGAGAGAAGCAAGCACAGCCTGCTGGAGAGAACTAGACTGGATCTGGGGAGGGACGAGTTAATAAGCACAGAGTGTCTAGTGACCAGCTGAGTTCCTAGAGCAAAGCACTGCACTCCTGTGACATGCCTGCACCAGCACTGACAGGAGAGGGCTAGCAGGCCCTTCCCACCCAGTTACTCATCCTAAGGAGAACCCACCTCCAAACTAGTCCCAGGATCAGGCCCTTTGATGAAATCCAATGTGCATGACTCTGGAAATGAGAAATGGCCTCCTTCATGTGCAGTGTAGACAGCTTGACCAATTCCAGCTCAGATTACCTGGGTGACACTTCATCACTTGCTGCCCTAGGAAGGGCAAGTCCCAATACCTGGCAATGTTGAAGACTGAGGTAGTGTGCAGTGGAAATCAAAATGACCTTTTGTCATCCAAACCTGCTGTTTAATTTCTCCTGTGCTGCTGAGGTTAAACAGGAAACTGACGTCTGTGTGTCTTGTTTGAGTAGAAGCATTGTTCTCAACTTTTTTCCAGCTCAGTCCCAGGGCACTTCTTTCCTCATTCTGTTCCCTCCTTTGTGGCCTTTCCTTTAGATTCCATGGGCTCTGAGCTCTGGGATGACCATTCTTTCTCGCCAGACAGCTTTTGTCTCAACAAAGCCAGAGGGAAGTAAAGGAAGGTAGATATGGCAATGAGGGAGCTCCGTGGCATACCTGGCCTGCCCTTCTGCCATATGGAACCTTTTCCTAAATTATTCTAGATCTGGATGGGTAAGACCTACCTGGTATCTCCATAAGAAACTCACCAGATCAAACACTAAACCAGAAACCCTGGGCCACTCAGTATTTATTAATTTATTTTAATTTTTTATGTGCATTGGTGTTTTGCCTGCATGTATGTCTGTATGAGGATGTTGCATCCCCTGGAACTGGAGTTACAGACATTTGTGAGTAGCCATGTGGGTGCTGGGAATTGAAACTTAATCCTCTGGAAGAACACCCAGTGCTCTTAACTGCTAAGCCATCTCTCCAGCCCTGGGGTTGTTCATTCTTCATCAAGCCCTGAGCCTGGCCTTGCCCCCTACCAGTATGCTAAGTTGGAATATGCCCTTCCCCTTTGCCCTGTAGTTCATCTTTGGAGGTCCTAGAAGATCATAAAGGTACAAATGTTTCCCCTAGATAGCGTGCACTTTCTCCAGCAGATAAGCCAGATGGCTACAATGCTTAGTAATAATTATGTTTCTAAACAGAGTTGTTTTTTTTTAAACTACCTACTCTTCCAACTCAAGTCATCAAATAAATTCTTAAGTTCAAGGGTGAGATCTATCATCCAACACAAGACTATCTTGGTGTGTTTGTACCTCTATAACAACATATCTGAGACTGGATAATTTATAAAGGATAGAAAATTATTTTCTGTGCTTTCCTTTATAATAGTAGCTGAGCTAGACACATGGGGAGGGTCTAGGTCCTGCTCCAAATGGTATGACAGACTTTGAAGATTCCCCCATGGAAGGCCTCACCCTCCTTGGAGAGCAGAAAGGGGATGGGATAGGGTGCCAGTGGGGGGCAGGGGAGGAGGGGAGGGAGAGGGAACTGGGTTTGACATGTAAAACAAGCTTGTTTCTAATTTAAATAAAAAAAGAAAAGAGAATTTATTTTCTGTCAATTTTGGAGGACAGAAAGTCCAAGATGAAGGTGGTTCTCTATCAGGTGAAGTCTACTGATTCCAGGATAGTGCCATTGATGCTGTATCCCTGGCTGAGAGGAACAAAAAAGATCCAAAGTAGTTCCTTCCTATTTGCTTTATAAAATACTAAACCCTGTTTACTAAGGCAGAGCCTTTAATGCCAAATCATCTCCTAAAGGCCTCACCTCTTAATACTGATGCATTGGGAATTACATCTCTCTGTGAATTTTGGAGTTGTCACAAACATTCAAATCGCATCAATGACCATCACATTTGTAAGGGGCATTTCTCAAAAGGGGCCTCTCTCAAAATGCCGAGTGGCCAAAATCCTTTATTTCCATCTCATTTGTCAGATTTGTGAAAATCAGCAGACACTTGTGTGTCTGGTGTGCCTGGGGCCACAGAAGGACCCAATACAGTTCCTGGGGCCAGCATAGCCACAGCAGAGGAAGAACACACCATTGGAGTGGTCCAACACCGGATTACATGAGGAAGGTGTTCCAATCCCATGGGAGCAATGAGTCTCAGCAAATACTTCAGGAGGAGTAAAGCAAACAGGAAAAAGTTCAAGAATAAACCAAATAATAATTCAATCCCTAATATTGGGTGTGGAGCATAGAAAAAAAGGCAGAATTTCCCCCCAAAAAAAGTTTACATGTCCATTACAGGAAGAGGTAAATGTATTGAGTAAGCAGGTGGATACACATTTGTATGATATTCATTATACTCCAACTAGAACACTCACTTAGCTCTTGGTTCCAAGATCAGGCACCATTCTAATTTGTGAATTCTTTTCCTTTTTAAAGATTTTATTTATTTATTATGTATACAGTCTTGTGCCTGCCCTGCATGCCAGCAGAGTGTACCAGATCTCATTACAGATGGTTGTGAGCCACCATGTGGTTGCTGGGAATTGAACTCAGGACCTCTGGAAGAACAGCCAGTGCTCTTAACCGCTGGGCCATCTCTCCAGCTCCTGTGAATACTCTTACGATGCCAAGAGCTGCAATTTGTGAGCTGCCATATGACAGGTGTGAACTATTTTAAAAGCTAAAATAATTTTAAACTTGAAGCAGTGTTCTGTTTACCAATCATTGCTATAAACCTAATTTCCCCAAACCTAGCTCCCATTTCATAATGCTCTGTCATGAATTAATTTTTACATTTCAAATTTTCACATATATGAGCGTTTTGTCTGCATTGATATAT